GCCACGTCAATGTCTCTTCGTTGGTTGTAGGACATACAGGGCTAAGTCTACCCTGCTTGCTTCAAGACTTGCTGCCGGTTCTGGTTGAGCAAACCATGCCCCCAACGGAGTTTGGGCAGCTGACAATCATAGACAACGACGGAGAAGCTTGTAGTCATCGTAATCGGCTTCTGGTGGGTGTGGCCAACGTTCTGGCGCGACAACCCCAGAGCACATTTCACCACAAGTGACGCAAAAACCCCAACTAGGCATTTTCAACGGCCCGCCCCCACACACATCAGAGATTTTTGGATAGCACTGCGTGATACCTAACCCTTGTAGCTAGCGTTTATCGTCAAGCATACCTAAGACGGTAGAGCAAGTGCAATTGGTTGCTCGAACGGGAGAGCGTACGGTGGTGAGTGGTGGTTCATAGCCCTGCCACTAGAGTTCTCAGATGGCAACCCCGCATTCAACCTCCGGAAATGTTAAGTTTGTCGAAACATAGTACACAGGTTTGGGGGCGTTATTTGAAAAGGAAACACAAACTGAACATACTAAAGGGGTAAATTTGGGCCAGACGTACCCATCAACTCCTCATGCCATAACCAGCAGATTCCAATATAGTTTATTTGAAATATGTTATATTAGCTTGGTCCTAGCCCTGACTTCATACACAATACTAACATTTATTCAAATTTGGTGGCTCGAAAATGTGTCAGTCACTATGTACTATGTAGAGCATGAATGATCATCTTTTAATGAGCATTGTCCAGACTATCATGGGCCCCGGCCTAGAGGCCTGGCCTATTGTCAGCCTTATGCGAACTCCCCGGTCTTATCTCAGCTTCAACTTCGCTTGTCCTCGAAGGTCTCGTGAACTGAAACCGACGTTGAATGTAAAAACACCTTCCGGAACCACCCATGCTTGACCATCAGAGTCCCAATAGCTTACATCGCGCCTCTTTAAACGAAAGCTGACCTCAGCTGTCTCTCCAGCAACTAGATAGACCCTTTCGAACCCACGTAGCACCCGTATCGGTGTCCCTTGAGGCGTACTAGAAGGGAAAGAAACATACAACTGTAGCACTGTATGCCCAGCAACCTCCCCGACGTTAGATACACGGGCCGTGACAACAGCAACATCTTCCCAAAGCTCGGGATGGCCGCCGACTTCCACCTTCACGTCGGGGTTGGGCCTGGCGCTCAAAGAATTGTTAGTTAGGGAACTTCCCTCTACCTTGCCTCCGTTACCAAGTTCGAAGGCGGTGTAGCTCAAGCCGAAACCGAACTCATAACGCGGTGTGATATTCATGGCATCGTAGTGCCTGTAGTCGATAAGCTGACCTTCGCTAAAGTCGGCCTGCCAGGCGCCCTGGTCCTTGACAGGTTCGGTCAGATTGACTATCGGGGGGCCAGAATCCTCGCCCTTGAACGGAATCGTGTAGGGAAGCCTTCCAGAGGGATTCACATCGCCCCAGAGGATGTCCACAATTGAGTTTCCGGATTGCTCGCCTGGATAGTGAGCAGCCAGTATGGCTCCGATTTTGGGCTCATCCGCCCACGGGAGAGTAACGACCCCTCCAGAGTGCGTGACAACGACAGTGTTTCCACACAGTTTGGCAACGTTCCTAATAGCTGCTGTCGAGTTGTTGTCCAGCTCCCATGAAGTTCTATCGCTCCCTTCGCTGGCAAATGTCTTTTGGAAGACAAGGCATAAATCCGGCAGAGGATAGATAGACTTGAAGTTACCAGCAGCCAGCAGCTCATTAGTGGCGATGTATTGAACCTCAGCGCCGATTTCTTTGGCTTTAGTTCGGATGGCCTCGAGTGGTGTGACGATGGATGTTGCCCGTCCGGTTCCCGAACCGCCTCCAATGAAGGCATTGCCAATGTTGGAGCCTGAACTGATTTTATCGAGGTCTTGTACAACGAGACCGTTGGCTGGTTCAACAGCATCGTTTCCGAATACACCGATTACCTTGGGTGATTTGAGGGGAAGAGTCTGGTTCGTGTTCTTCAGAAGAACAGTTCCAGCTGCCGCGACCTCTCTCACGACGGCAGCATGGTTTCCGCGGACATCGCGACCCCTTGGAAACTGGCCTGGCTGTGGAAGTACGCCGAGGTCAATAAGATTCAAGAGCCCCACGTCATTCGCTAACAATAAGAGACTACTAGATGGGTCCGGAGATGGGTAGTCTGGCGAGTCTTGCTTTAGGAGAAAGTACGGTGTCATAATGTGCTGAACCATCTCATTAAGTCGGTCTTCGGTAATTGACCCATCTTCCAGACCTTTGGTAAGGCCATCTTTAAAGAAGAAGCTGGCGCCTTGATAATTGGATGGTGGAATGTATCCTGGCATTTCAACTTCCAGCCCGGCATTGATGGCCTTGGCGGCTGAGTGGGTAGCGAACCAGTCCGAGACAACGTAGCCAGCGAATCCCAATTCCTCTCTTAGGATCTCTTTCAGTAAGTATGAATTCTCACAAGTATAGGTTTGGTTCACTCTGTTGTAAGAACACATGATGCTCGTGGTTCCTGCTTTGACAGCGTTGGCAAATGGCCAGAGATATAGTTCATGTAGCGTCCGATCATCAGCGTTGGAGGATATTGCGTCAACAGGGCTACCGTTCTCGGATGTTGTATTGGTTCTTTGAGTCTCCTGTTCATTGAGAATGTAGTGTTTCGAACTAGTCTGAACACCATTGTCTTGAATTCCGCGAACTGTTGCTTCCATGGCTTCACCAGCTAGGAAAGGGTCGGGACCGAAACCCTCCCAGTTCCGGCCGCCCAGCCCATGGCGCCCCATAGGACCAACAGCTGGTCTATATTTTGCGTCAGCTTATGAGCAATTACCAACCTCTATGGATGTATGAAATCGTGATACCAACATACCCCAGCAAGACTTTCGTGCCTTTGCCTCTTGCCTCTTCCCCAAGGGCATGGGCACGCTGATAAATCAGATTTCTATCCCATGTCGCCGCTGCCGTGATGCCCGATGGGAACACGGTAATGAACTCGGCACGATTGACGGCATTCGGTCCATCTGACATGCAAACTCCTGTAAAGTTGAGGCGAGGAATGGGCGGGATGACCCCAATACACCCAGCACCAGCAGTTGCGTTACCGTATGTGAACGCTATCTTCTCCTCGATAGTGAGCTGTAAAGTGAATATCTTGGCCTTCTCTGAAGCTTTAGACCACTCGTCATTGCCTATATTTCGTGAGCCATGTTCCATTGAGGAGTAATCAGTGTTATCAGAGCTTACTGAAGGAAGAGGCAAAAGTAGCCAAGCATAAGATGAAAGCAATTATTTTGAAAGTCATTCTGATAAATACGTCTAGAAACATAGACTAGATCACATTGGTGGACCGCTTCGGTCGAAGACCCCCTCTCTGTGACATTAGTATGTTTATGTAGATAACTATATACTTGATTTTCGGGTCTGTTTATCCTTCGTTCCTTCGTTTTTCTAAATAGCCTCAATAGCATGGCCATGAAAGGGCCGAATGAAGTTCTCTCTTTCAAAGATTCGAGGTCATGCTTGCCACAGGAAGTGAATCTGCATGACGTCTTGCATATGATCATGCGTAGAATGGGCTCAATTCAACTTCGCTCTGCACTACAATCGGGCCGACACACAAAAATGGTTTATTTCCATTTAGCCTTTTCTATTTTCCTACCTATCTAGTGCATAGATGAACAGGTTGAGGGTTGCATCTTGCAAGGGGTTCGCGCTGGGCTCGGACTCGGGTTGAAACCCGAGAAAAGCGAGCATCATCTGCATATTGATTTGGGCCATGACTATATGGTGAACATGAGAGCCATTTATTTCAGAAACACGCCAGCCCGAACCCTATGAAATTCGTAGCTATCACACCACAGCTTCAGATATCGAAGCAGAACTAGCAGAGAAACCAAATAAGTAGCTCCTGAAAGAAGTTTTGGGAGAAGCTTATAAAATTCATCAGGCTGTTCCTTAGCCTTGAAAAGAGACTTAAAACATATAGGATATAACGGCGAGCATGTGTACAGTTCGGTCCGATGATGTTGCCACATCAAAGCTTGATGTTTAAACCCACGTCTACCCTTCAAGGAAGCATATTGGTATCAATGATTATGCGCGAAAACAAACAAGGAAATACAGATATTCATCTAGCAACACGAGAAACTTTTTAAATCGCGAATAAAATAGAAGGTTATTTACAGATATCGTTGATACATTACATCGTCATCCCCAAGTCTCGGCTCTTTGATCTCAGGATGCAGAGACAAGATGAGACTGAATAGGCTGCTATCTATTCTCATTGTTGCGTCAGCAAACCATCGATAACTAAGAAGGTTATTTGTAACGACTTTTCTGTGTGTTTATTCTTCCAAAAACCATATCCACAATACATGCTCTAAGTTTGAATGACGTATCTGTGTCGATATCAAGATTAAAAGACCGTAATTTGACAGGGAGACTGTCCCAAATATCATGATGAGTGAGGCATTCTATGAATTCCCCAACTGCACCAAGTGTGTATGGTGAATCGGGACGTGGGTGTGTTTTAAATAATGCATCCCATATCCCATACCAATGCTCCGTGTCCGATTGACCTCTGAATGTACGAAAGTCATGTAACATTTCTTGTTCCTCCTGAGATAAGTCTTCAGGACCCGACGCTTGCTCGCAGGTGTCAATCCCAATATGGACATTGAGGTCGGACAACCCTTCGAAGGAAACGTAACACTTCGGGCAGGAGTACCTTGATTGTGCGTGGACTCTGATGAGGTGCTGACGAACGTCGGCTGATCTCCTTAATTGATAGCGGAAGCATCTTCTATGCTTGAACGGGTTCAGTTTTAAAAAGGGGCATGCAAAACATTCATCTCCTTCGCTTTCGGAAATTGGTATTGGCGTCGTGTTTTTGCGCCGTCGTAGTCTCCTGTCGTCCTCTATTAGAGCCGCCTCGAAATTGGTCGCTATTCCCACCGGCTCTTCGGCTTCTTCAGTTGGTAGGGGGTCGATAGACCGTATGACTTTCAGCCGCTTGAAGAAACTCCATCGCGGAACATTTGGCGACTCAACGAAAACCGTCTCCTCATCCATCCGATTGAGACTCTTTCGGGTGCGCTCCAAGTATACCAAGATGGGTGACAAAACCAGCAGCAGGACCATAACAATCATGTCTGATGACCATGGCTTCCCTCGTGTTGCCGAAGGAGAACATGTTTCGTGCCAATAGAAAAGCTTGGGGGAAGCTCTCGGAATGAGCGATCTATCGGTACCAGGTGATTCGAAGTTAACATGTGGAGGTGGTGGCAGAGTTGAAGCCAAAGCTTCGTCGCACTCTGGCTTTATAACTCCAGAGTCCTTAGGATTCAATGTTAGGGAAGTCTCTCATTTCCGGACGGCTGCAAGGAACACAGTTACCTACCGCAGCACTCTGGCATTGCGCGATATAGTCTTTCAGAGCCGTCCACTGGGCCAACTCTAGAGCCTGCTTGGACAAGTTTTGACTCTCGAAACCTGGTCCCAAGGAGGTAGCAGCAAAGAGCAGGCCAAGAATGGCAATGGCCCAACCCGTCACGGCGACGGTGTTTTTAGACAGCCATACTCGTAAATTGGACAGACATGTCTGTAAATTAGATAGCCATGCTTGCAAGCGGAACAGCCACCGGGAGACAGGAGATTTAGATTGAGTGGTCAAGGCTGGGGGGTTCGAAGGCTGCGGAGACGAGATCTGGTGGACAACATTCGATTGTGGTGGGGTTGATGGGCGGGAGGCAGGATGCGGGGGCGGAGATGAGGACATCCTTTGATGAAAACCTACGGTCCCAAAGCAATAGTAAATGATACGCAGCTACCAGGCGGAATAATGCTGAATAGAACAAAGGGAGAAGATAGGACAGTCACACGGTCCGGTATGACGGCCATAAAAGAACACCGCTGGTGAATATCGGCTTACTCGTAGAGAACATCAGAATGCAAAAAAATGAGGCACTGCAGCAAGGCATTTTTGATGATGGAGAGCACAGCCTCCAAGACTCTAATCAACGCATGCGTGGCTGCCCAATGAGCGACAACCGTCATCACTACCTTACCTTACAGGTACATATATGATGGTGTGCAGTTGCACGAGTTCTCACGAAATGTGCTTTCAACACATCTTGAACTACAGGCCAAAATTAAAGTCGTCGAAATCAGAAATAAACGTATGGGATCCCTTGCTATTTTCGCTTTAATATAGTACATACGCCTCATATATAAAACTTTACGACTCGTGTTGATGCTGCGACTGACTCGAGGCACTCGTCTTGTAGAGGACCTACCCTATAACGGCGTGGCGAGTGCAAGTATAAAATGAGCTGTCACTCACAGGACCGCCATCCTGAGATCTCTACCTTCTTCAATTCCACCAGGGGGTAAAGGAATATAATGTCCAATCCTTTTTATATCTGTTCTATTAAATGATACGCTCATAATACACATTCAAGGACAGGATAAAGATCAGCAAATTAGTTCTTGTTCGCTTAGCGTACCTATAGAGGTGTGTTGAGAAAAGAGATGTCGCCGACACCACCTCCCGCGACAATTGGAGGCCGCAAAAAGGGGGATGGACGACAGGGTTGCTGCGTTGGGCTGAGTGTTACAGTGTGGCTCGCAGCACAGCACAGCCCATCTCACGATCAAGGCAACACCCAACGCAGTGTCTGGCACACCTGGTATTGAGAACGATTTGAGCTAATTAGTCATTGGCGGGTGATTCTTGTGACGATGTATAGAATTAGCAGGTTGCTGGGCGAAATAGAGCACGAGTTGAATCCTTGCGGACTGCAATCAATACTTGCCGTTTAAACTTTGAACTGGGGCAGTATTAAAATTAGAACTTCGCAGGATTAATTAATGCACTTTAGCTCCAGAACATCAATGGACCGTAGTGGGGGCTGCCCAGAGTCAGCGGCAGATCATTCGCCCACCACAGGGCTGATGGAAATAATTGATGGTCTCGCGCGCGGTACACTCTGCTGGCAAAGGATCAACTGTCTTCACGTGGGCGGGATCAGCGTCGTCGCTGGGGCGAGAAAAGGGGGATGCTCATCCAGCACCAATAGGCAGCATCATCTTCACGTTCCGACGCAATCGGGTGTTCATAGCTTGCCAGGAGATTGAAGCTACATCGGATTCGCCGTCTTTTGAGAGTCTAAGTTCGTCATAAGGGAACAAACGGCACCAGCGTATCGAAACTGGGTGCCTCAATAGGCCAAGCGCTAGGCTAAGGTACCCCGAGGCCCCCTAATAACTGCCACTAATCTCACGCTCTGCGGCTGCGCCTGTTGCAGCCACGCGCCACAGCTGTCAAAGTCCCTACTGATTTTTCTCCACGGGCGCCTCCAGCTTGAATTCTCCCTCTTACCTTGCGCTTGGCGGCTTCAACCCCGATCTCAGCTTTGGATATTCCCATACCTACATTCCATCCATCAAGTATCTGTTATTTCCGCCTTCATCCATTATTCAGGTCACCGCGCTGGCCCTCTGAGAGCCCCGTGCCGTCGAGCCTCGCGGGCGCGACACGCCGTGGCAGCCCCAGCCAAGGACCGGGAAACGGACACCTCCGTCCTACCTACCTACCGGCCGCACCTCGCCATATAACGCCATCTAAGGTATAGACTTATATCATACCGCCTACCCAGATACACATCCCATCATGGACATCGTAGATCTCGACTACGAGGAGGAGCAGTCCGCCGACCCCCTTCTCCCCACTTCATCATCGTTGAGACGCGCTCCTCGCCTTACTGTCAAGTCTTGGATCCGTTCGACGGGCCGCTCCGTCGCACGGTATTTCCCAGGCAGACCTAGAATCCGACGCAAGACCTGGTGTTTCCATTTCTCTGTTTTCTTCGGCTTCCTCTTCTTCCTCCTCATCCTCCTCCCTTTCCTCCTGCCTACCTACGCAAAACCCCCTGCCCACTTCTCCCGCCTTGATAAAGCCTGCCGCACCTCAAACCCGAAGGACGGATGTGCCAACCCTAAGAATGAGAAGGTCTTCATCACCGTCGCCCTCTACGATCCGGATGGCAGCATTGCTGGTGGCAAATGGGGCCAGTCCGTCCTGGATCTCGTCCATCTCATCGGCAAGGACAACGTTTACATTAGTATTTACGAGAATGACAGCGGAGACCCGGGTCGCACTGCCCTTGATAGATTCAAGTCCCAGCTTGCACGTCAGGACAGGACAGACTTCGTCATCGATGAGCATGTCCCCGTCGACGACTACTTTCCCACAATCACCATTCCAGGCGGCTCCCAGGCTGTGAAGCGCCTCGCCTACCTCTCGGATATGAGAAACCGCGCTCTGCGTGCTGTTGACTTTAAGGACCCCGAGAACCCCATTGATGAATTTGACAAGATGCTGTTTCTCAACGATGCCATGTTTGACCCTGTCGAGGCCGCTCATCTTATTTTTGACACCAATGCTGCCGAGACGGAGGATGGAAAGGCCAATTACCTGGCCGCCTGTGCAGTCGATTACAACAGGGTCCCGATTGTACAGTATGACCTGTACGCCTCGCGCGACGCTGAGGGCTACGCGTGGGGCTTCTTCATCTTCCCATACTTCAGCAGTGCCGGCAAGGGCATCTCACGGAAGAAGACCCTGGCCGCGAGCGACGCTGTTCCCGTCAGGAGCTGCTGGGGCGGAATGGTCGCTGTGCAGGCAAAATGGGTACAGGACTCGCTCACGATCGGCAATGCGGAAACTGTTCCCTTTAAAAAGATCACCAACTATACCATCGACCCAGACCACCCGCACAACGTCACCACCCCGGTTCGTTTCCGGTACGAGCCCGAGATGTTCTATGACGCTTGCGAATGCTGTCTCTTCTTGGCTGATTTGAGCGCTGTGGCTGCCCGCGATGGGGAATGGGCAATGGGCGACGGTATCTTTGTCAACCCATACGTCCGTGTCTCCTACAAAGAGAGAGCCTTCAAGTGGCTGCGCATCGTGCGACACTGGGAGTGGCTACTCACCATCCCCCAGTATCTGGTCAACACCTTCGCCAACCTGCCCAAGAACAACCCTCACAGGGAGGTCGTGGAAGGCCAGCCCTTCAAGGAGGAGATCTGGAACATCAAAGAGGAGAGATGGGACATGGTGGACAGAATCGGCAGGAACGGCATGTTTTGCGGCGTGAGGGAGACGCAGCTGATTGAGCCGGGGAGGCGCGAGAAGGAAGGGTTGAACTGGATGAGTTGGGAAGATGGGCCTTGGGACAGCCAGCAATTGTATTTTCCCCACTAAGATACCCTCAAAATGTATGTTTTAATGAGATAGATTGTGTATTTGTCTGTATGTGGATATGGTATGTGTTTGTATATGTATATGGCGGGTATAAAGACCAGTAATGAAGAGCCACGACGGCAGCATGAGAGCAAATGCCATAACCCATGATTTTGATACTCGTGATTGCGTCTTGCTTGATGCCCCCTTTCTTCCATCACAGCCTGCCGAATCCCGCGCAATTTCTGCCTGCAATTAGATACAAAGTAATAGCTCAATTGGCCGGCAATGTGCTGGCGTGGTGTGCTGTCTTGCGACTCCGTCAATGCCCATAGACTTGCTTCTGCAGAGGCAGGTCTGCATAATGTGCCTCGGCGACGGGAGATGGACACGGGGTCTTTGTGGAACCCATCAATTGAGCTGAGGAGACCGATTGATTGGAGGCCAGCTGCTGGCCTTGATGCAGGGGCTGACTTAAATTCTCAGAGATGCTCAATGCATGCACATGGCGTGCGCTTGCCTGCGTGGCATCTCCAATGCGATCAATAGCGCTGCGGCAATGCTGAGCTGGGAGGGCTAGACGGGCATCTCCGTAATGAGGATGATTTGGAGTACCTTTTTGCTTGTTTGGATAGATGGAAATCAGATATAAAAGACGTCGATTGTCTCCTTGAAACCAATCCCCTTCTTCTCATCATCACTCACATCTTCAATCTCAATCCAACAACCAACACTACCTTTCCAACCCCCCAACCTTCACAATGGCGTAAGACCTCGACAGTACTCCCCCGACTGCCTTTGGATTCATACTGACTGATCTTCCAGTGAGCAGTTCACTGTCCCTCTCCCCACCGCCACTGGCCTCAACACCCCCGCTGGTACGTCCTCGCATCTCAGAACAATATTCCATCGCAGAAATATCAATACTAACCAGACCAATAGGCCAGCTGATCAAGGGCGCCACCCAGGACGACGGCTCCCTCCGCGACGCCGCTCTCCTCCTGGGCATCAAGCTCGACCTCGAGGCCGAGGTCCACCTGACTGCCCGCGTCAAGGGTGATGTCGTCGTCGGTCTCTACTAGATGCGTTTCCGCGCACGAGGGGGTGATTTACTGAGAAAATGACGGACGAGATGGCCTAAACAGGTCTTTGGTATTGGGATACAAGATGTGGGTGAGGGTTCGACGATTGGGAAGTCCTCATGCGCCCAGGGATCCGGGGTCAGATCAGAGTCGCTAGTAAAAAAATTTAAATTCTTTCTTCTTATTTTTGTCTTTGATTTTGCTCATTTGATGTTATTTGCGGAGTGTCATATGTAGGCAAGGAGTCTCATGTATCGGAGGAATTATTTACCAGCCAGTCGCATGCCATTCCGTCCGACGACATGGGAAATGGCGATTTGAAGAACCGGGAAGGCCGCCGACTCGCTGATTTCCCAACTCGGTGTTATGTATCCCCGGATCGGGCAGCGACTGGTTGATATTGAGGGGTACAAGAGTGTTCCAGTTTCTATCTCGATTGAGGGGAGATTTAAGTATTTTTTTCTCCGAGCTATAAAGGGACCTGCGTTACTTCGTTCCTGAAACATCGTTTGATACAACTGGCTTGTAGTTTGAAGGATACCCTTGGCCCATCATGACACGACGGTCAATCCATCCGGAGCTGGGATCCGGCTCGAGACCTCGTATGTCCATCACAAGATAGTAACACAATAGTTGGAAAAAAGAGAACCCCCCGCTGACACATATCTATACGTAGCAATCGTCGTCGACGGCACCTCCTTCGCCATCAACGGGGCAAACTCATCCTACCGCTTCCACGTCGACCCAGACACGGGCGACCTCACCTCCGACCACTTCGGCGGGCCCGTCACGGAGAACCCCATCGCCGAGATTCGCGCCAACGGGGGCGGCTGGTCGACGGTCGAGCACCTCCGGCGAGAATGGCCCGACCTCGGCCGGGGCGACTTCCGCACCCCAGCCGTACACGTCAAGCACGCCGAGGGGTACACGGTGAGCGACTTCAGGTACGAGTCTCACAGCGTCGTGGAGGGGAAGCCGGAGCTGCCTGGGCTGCCCTCGACGTTTGGGGGTGAGGGTGAGGTGTCGACGCTGGTCATTCACATGGTTGATAAGGTCAGTTCGGTGAAGGCGGACTTGTCGTATTCTATCTTCCCGAGATACGACGCTATTGCTCGTAGTATCAAGATTACGAATGAGGGGACTTCGGATATTTCCATTGAGAAGCTGGCTAGTTACAGTGTCGATCTCCCGTATGAGGAGTATGAGATGCTTCAGCTTCATGGGGAGTGGACTCGTGAGTGTACACGGATTCGAAGAAAGGTGGATTATGGCGTACAAGGGTGAGTGAACAGTATCTGCTAAAAGAAGTGAGAAATGTTGTGAAAGACGAGTTTCTAACAACACTTGCTCACATATAGATACGGGAGTGCGTCTGGATTCTCCTCATTCTACCACAACCCGTTCCTCGCCCTGGTATCCCCGAGCACGACAGAGTCCCACGGGAACGTCTGGGGGTTCTCTCTCGTTTACACGGGCTCTTTCAGTGTCGAGGTCGAGAAGACCCCCCAGGGCTTCACCCGCGTCCTGGTGGGGATGAACCCCATCCATCTGTCGTGGCCCCTCAAGCCGGGTGAGTCCTTCACCTCGCCGGAATGCGTATCGGTCTTCTCCAAGTTCGGGATCGGTGACATGTCGCGGAAATTCCACCGTCTTTATCGCCAGAACCTCATCCTCAGCCCCTTTGTCAACAAGCCGCGACCGAGCCTGCTCAACAGCTGGGAGGGTCTGTATTTCAACTACGACGAGGAGAAGATCTACAAGCTGGCCCAGGATACGGCGGCTTTGGGTGTCAAACTATTCGTACTGGACGACGGCTGGTTCGGTGTCAAGTACCCACGTCTGAATGATCGGGCCGCACTTGGAGATTGGGACCCTAACCCGGTGCGGTTCCCCAATGGGTTGGATTCGCTCGCCGACAGGATCAAGAAACTCAAAGTTGAAAACGTATCGGGAAGCCAGGGTCCTGCTGAGAATCTACAGTTCGGGCTCTGGTTCGAGCCTGAGGCGGTGAATGTGAAGTCTTTGCTCTACGAGCAACATCCTGAGTGGGTTCTCTCAGCTGGGAAATACCCTCGTACAGAGGCGAGGAACCAACTGATGCTCAATCTAGCGCTCCCAGAGGTTCAGGATTTCGTGATTGATGCAGTGTCCAAAATCCTATCTACGGTAGCCGTTTCGTATCTCAAGTGGGATGCCAACAGAGCGATCCACGAGAGCCCGTCGCCAGAGAACCACCACGCGTACATCCTGGGCTTCTACAGAGTTTCAAAGGTGCTCACCACCCGGTTCCCCCACGTGTTGTGGGAAGGCTGCGCATCGGGTGGCGCTCGTTTCGATCCCGGAGTCCTGCAGTACTTCCCACAGTTCTGGACCTCGGATAACACGGACGCCCTGAGCCGCATCCACATCCAGTTTGGCACCTCGCTCGTGTATCCCCCGTCGACCATGGGGGCACACATATCAGACGTGCCGAACCACTACACCCGCCGAACCATCCCGATGCGGTTTCGCGCCCACGTAGCCATGATGGGCGGTTCGTTCGGGCTTGAGCTCAACCCGAGCGCCATAACCCCAGAGGATAAGGCTGCGCTGCCCGAACTCATTTCCATCGCGGAGAGGGTCGCTCCTATAGTTATCGAGGGAGACTTCTGGCGCCTTAACCTGCCTGAGGACTCGAACTACCCGGCTGCCATGTTCATCTCCGAGGACGGCTCGCGTGCCGTCTTGTTTTATTTCCAGATACGCAATACGGAGGTTCACAACTTCCCGATGCTCTATCTTCAGGGTTTAGATGAAACTGCATTTTACAAGATTGATGGGGAGGGGGCGTATTCTGGGGCTACGTTGATGAATGGTGGCATACAGCAACGATTTAAGGGGGATTACGATAGCAGGATTTATTTTATAGAGAAACTGTGAGATACAACACGAGAATGTTGTCGAATATACCAACTGCTACTAGCGGGTTAACGATGTAGGCAGAACTAGACATCATATGAAGCGCGAATGACAACAGCATATGTACTAAATCCTATATCTGTTTTATATACACGAACTTTAGTCTTAGGCTTGCAGTTGCTCTTGATACTTCTACTCTTCAAAGTTGTCCTTACTTCCCCAGTGAATACGATAAAGGTTCCCTGCCAAATTTATCCTTAACTGTCTTGTCAGCCCCGTGTACGAGCAGCACCCTGATCAGGGAAAATAGCCCACGTTCGGCGGCCCAGGAAAGTGCTGTCCTGCCTTGATGATCTTGGCAGTTCACATTTGCCCCTGATTCCAGCAAGAGCGTAGCGATTCCGACATCACTCCCCAATCCGTTCTTTTTACCCGAGCCCATGAGGGGAATGATACGCATAAGAGCTGTCTTCCCAGATACGTCTTGGATGTTCGGATCAGCACCGTGATCGAGAAGGACACGGACAGTGTCCTGTCTGCAAAGCGAAGAGGCGACCATGAGTGGTGTACGACCGCCATCCTCCAACGTGTTGACATCCGAGCCGTGTTGAATTAGTATTTCGACGATTGAGGCATCGCTGAACGCCACAGCTTCCATCAGGGGCGTCTCGCTGAAGTCGTTCTTGCGGCTGACGTCCGCGCCGATGCTCAGTAGAAACTTGAGCTCTTCGACCTGGCCGTGCTTGGCTGCCACGTGTAATGGGGTCCGGCCTGCGGTGTCCATCGGGATGTTCCTGTGGTGCAGGATCCGGAGGAACTCGATTTTGCCGAGTTTGACTGCTTTGTGTATCACCATCTCCCCGTCCGTATGCTGGGCGAATGGGTTCGCGCCACGATCAAGGAGCAAGTCGACAGCATCCCAGTGTCCATTCTCGACAGCACAGGCAAGAGGCGTCGCCCTGTGCGGCAGCTGGTGGCTCTCAATGTCGGCGCCGGCGTCGAGGAGCAGGGTCATTATCTCGACGTAGCCGAATTCAGAAGCTGCCCACAAGGCGGAGGACCCGAAGTGGCCGTGCTTGAAATTGACTTCGGCACCTCGCTCGAGGAGCAGCTTGACAACTTCGGGATGCCGGTCTGTCGTCGCAACCCATAGCGGGGATGTTCGGCTTTCGCTGCGAAGTCCAAGTCCCTCGACATTTATCCCACCGTCAAGGAGCGTCTTGGTCATCTCACGATTGCCTTCGCTTGCTACTGCCGTCAGCACGGACAACATTTCGGGACCGTCAGCTTTTGCACCTCGGTCGAGGAGAAGCTTGGTAACTTCAGGATGCGAGCGCGTTGACGCAGCCCGTAGTGGGGTTATGCTGCTTCCTCTATAGTTCCCGTCGATGTCTGCCCCATGGTCGAGAAGCAACTTGACCATCTCAAAGTCTCCCTTGTCTGCGGCTGCTGTTAAAGGGGAGAATCCATGGAATCCATTAGGGCCGTTGGTTTGAATGTGGACGTCTTCTCGTGTCAGCAGAGTCTTGACCACGTCTATGAATCCATTTTTTACTGCCTGGTATAGAACGGTATGTCCATTAACCTTGACATTGATGTTTAAGTCCTCGCGGGCTAGGAGATGTTGAAGAAGTTTCTCGTGGCCGCGCTGAGAAATCAGAATGAGCAACGGCGTTCTGTCGGGACTACCGTCCTGATTCACGTTGAGACCCTCCAAATTAAGGATCCTCAGAGCCAGATAATCATCAGACTTGAGCAAAGCCCACTTGAACCCTCCATGGCAAATACATCTGGTGTTTCGAGGAGGGAAAAAACGTGGCCCAAGTCCCATCCTGGAAGTTGATGGAGAGATGGATCATGCAGTGTCCCAAATAGAAGATACGATATCGTATTCTGAACTGTTCGGCAGATATCGACTTCGTAATTTGCCGCGAAGACATCTTTTCGACAGGCATCTGATGAGATTCCTAGCAAGGCATATACTCTATCTCTCGGGTCGGATGCTCGGCTGGACCTGAACTTCCATAGCAAGGTCTCAAGTGTGCGTTTCTCGCTCCACCAGCAAGAGCCTCGCAGGTGGCCCGGCATGATCTCCAACACAGCCCTGGAATGGGCATCTGGTTCAATGTCCATCAATGAAGGAATCAAGGCAAACGTCCTCGATGATATAGATCTCCAGCCACACACAATAAGAGCCCGTCGTGCACTAGCCGCCTCCTGCAAGACCCAGATCCTGCGGAACCATTCGCGCTGCAGGAGCTCCAGCATTGCTGTCCGACGCTTCACATAAACGGCCGACTGGGTTCCGCCCTGCTCCTCTACCATGGCCGGCCATATCGCCCGCCAGCTATCGGGAGATTGCTTCCGGTAGTTACTATGCAGCATCGCGCGCCTCTCAAGCTGGGTCATGAGATCGAAGAGGAGATCGACGTCATCGCCCGCCCGCCCGAGCCAGATCAGCACTTGCTCGGCATTCTGGTAGATCTGCTTCATGTGGGAGACCTGGTGGCCTCTCTCCTGGTCATTCGACTGGTTGATGCACAGCGCGTCCACCCACAGCAACCTGTCGCGATCGCTGAGACGCAGGCAGCTCAGGGCCATGTACAAGTTCCAGGTGACCCATGCCACTTCGCCGTTTAACTTGACTTCAGCAGGTTCCGACTCAAAGCCCCATGTGTAGGACAGAGCTTCGTAGGGTATGCAGTCGGCTTCATCGAGAGATGTTTCGAAAATCTCGCACTCGATGGCATCGGTGTGGTAGCCCTTTCGAAGCCGAAGGAGTCGTATCTGGTTGGTTGATGAATCGAGGGGTTGATACTGGTAGTGAGACATTTTTGTGGTGGTCATGTTTGGAGAGGAGACAGCACGCCAAGAGGGGATAACCAAACCATCGATTCCATTTCCAAGGCGCTCCTCCTGGCTATATTGATGTAGATGACATGGATGAAGAAAGCCTTGCCGTAGCAATTGTTTGATCGATGCTTATAGTGGGGTTCTTGTGTGGCTCATCCACAGACTCTGCACTGCCACAGCAAATCGTACCAAGAGAGGACAGTCGATGTATTAACACGAAGAAATTAGATGCTGCCTGATTGAAGTGCCTAGTGGATAGGATTCTGCGAATTTGGTGTTTTGTTTCTATCTTTTATCATCCTCGACGCTTTGCGTCTAATTGACGCTACGAATTAAATGTAGCAAATACGCAGCACTGATCATGGAGATAATGCTGAGACATGTACTTGAGCTCATGGGAAAATTATAAAATCAATTGATCGTCAGCTGTCAGATGATCCAAGCGTAAGAGTATATGTAGGGCATTCACAAGAGGATAGTTTAAGCGGAACCTCTAAACTGGCGAGTAATGGACTATCTAAGGATAGTACTATATCATATATCACTATATCGCTAGTCTAGTGGTGTAATCAATGCAGCGAATGTGAAAAGATCCCTCAGTAGCTTAATAAGAGATCCTTGCGTAATGATGCGATGATAATTGTTGAGTTATCAGTTTTGGCTCAAAGACCCAGGGTCAGGCCTGCGCAGCCCTCCCTCCGAGCACAAACCAATGAGGATTGCTTGGGCCTGTTGCTTATTTGGAGATTTGGACAGACTGGCAAGTCAGAGTTTCAATTAGACAATAATTGGGTAGGAAACATACAGAGAATGTTGTAATTGGGTCTGGAAAGTGTGGCAGCATCAACGTCTTGGCGTAAGACATAAGCATGTGACGTTCTTATTCTGGGAATGGAGGCACGCGAATGGGCATTCAATGTATGGACGGAAAAGATCTATTGGATGGCCATACATGCTGCATACTACATCGCCTAAAATCCCAGCGCTTCTGCATATGTTGAGTGGCAGGCGAATATCGAGTGGAGTGGATCTTCATGCAAAAGGGAGGGACAAAGTTCGAACAGATTTTTGAGAGGATCTAGTGAAACAGGAAATGATAAACTTCTACGGTAGCAGTTTGGAGTTCTACCCCCATAGGAGACGGATGCCAAGGAGAAAATCATGCTACGACTCTCGCTGCTCTCATGCGTCTGGGTGGGTGGCTAAGACTCAAATAAGGATTTACCCGCTCTTTAGAAATTTGTTTCCAATGTAATTCTAACCTCACTCATCGAATCACCCCGCTTTGAATCTATCTGGTTTGGCCGTGCTTCTGGAGCGAAGCTGGGAGTGGACATCATTGTCTCGACATGTCTTCTGAACCAGTACCCGCGATTTGTTACCCATCTTGCAGTGCGTAAACTGATCTAGCGTATGATGAACGGCTGCTTACCATATCTTTTGTAGATAACGTTTACCTTTATGCCTCATCGGTGGGAAAAACAGACCTGCTCTGTGATCAAGATGGAGAATTCATGAAAGGGTACCAGATATGCCTCCAGTGTCTAGTCGAGGCGAATTTAGACGGGAAGCTTGACCCCGAGGTAGTGATCGATTTTAAGCAGTTCCTGGACTTCTGTAAAATACCCCTGGGATATGTGTTCACCACTGGGACTTTCGTTCTACCTGGCCCCATGACATCAACAATGGTCTATCTCGTGGTGCCTTCAGGACAGCAAGCATCTACACCCGCATCTACGCCGGCGACGACAAGAATAAGCACGAACACAAGTACGACTATGCAGTCCTCGAGCGCCACAACGTCATCTTTAAGCACAAGTGCGCCGACTGACACTGGTGCTAACAATAACAGTACGTTTGTCTTATTGTTGACATTTGTGATTTTTTTCCTCAAGCTAAGCATGCATCGTAAGAATCCACTCTTGCTGGAATCATCGCAGGCAGTCTGGGAGGATTCATTGTCATCATCATCGTCGCTCTGATCATTTGGCGCCGAACTCGGGCTCGAAAAAATGAATCGACTGATAGCGGCGATTCTGGCGGTAAACATTTCGACAAGGCTCAACTTCATTCTGATTGTGTTCCAAAACCAGTCTTCGAGACATCTGATGGCATGATCCACGAGATGGAAGGCTCGGTATTACCTCCAGAATGTGTTGTCGAGAAGCCTGCGAACGAATCTGCTGCGCAAGAGCTGCCACCTGAAGGTCTTTCCGAAAAGCCCGCGAATGAAACTCCGGCTCGACATTGTATAGGATTAAAAGACCAATGTGCCGAAGTAGACAACACTAACTTGGAGAAAAGAATCATCTAAAGGATTGCGTTGGCAAAGCCCTGTGAGTACATCAAATACGGGAACATGAGCAGCGTGAGACAGATCATATTATGGATATGGAGGCATTTCGTATTGGAGCGATTTCTTAGATCCTGCAACGTTGCGCGTCTTGATTCTCCATGGATGCTTGAGAATAAGTTCAATGACGATGTTGAGTACTGGTAGTTTCAATTGGCTCGGATTTTTCTCACCGAGCAGGGTCAATATAAATACGAGTAAGAATACTGGCTTGGCTGCAACTAGCTGAATTCTCTCTCATGACATATGGCTAGACAGTCTATCATCGAAAGCGTAACCTAGAAGAAGTGGCTGGAAAACAGAGATTCGACTTCTGTTTCAGTTTGGACACTTGGTTTGGGGATAAGTCCTCCACTCTGTCTAAGTAGACCGATATCTGTACACACTTTCACTCAAATGCTGCACGATATCAAGCCATAGACGCAGAACAAGACACAGGCTTGCGGCTTCTGTTTGGTATCCAAGCGCTTTATAGAGAATTACTCCTCTAGCTGCAAGATTATTAAAACCATACTTGCCGTAGAGAAGTGGTAGGCTGGACTCGGATGCCGAATGCGGAATGAAGAGTATCATAGTTTCACATATTGGTCATTGGTCGTCTGAAATTTGCATTCTTCCTAAGCCTCAATAGATCCAAGTGCCTTTAATACCGTTCTGATCTTTTTGGTAATTATTTGGTGTAATTCGTATAATTAGGGAGTTTCTGATATCTCTGAACAAAGGCAAAATTTCTTGTTGCGACCCAAGATCAAAACTTGGCCAATGACAACAGTGTGACTCGGCGGAATATACGGCGAATCTTCATTGATTCATATTATAAGCCCTGAAAAAGCAACGAGTGCATCAAGTGCTCGCTTATTTCAGGCTTTTCAGCCAGCCTCTGCTGTCTGATCTACAAAATTGCGGCCGAACATGTCGGTACATTCCGGTGACAATATACTAGTGCATCTGTTGCTGCACATATTAATACAAGCTTTCCCAAGATAAGAATATAGATCCGAGACTGTCTCGGTGAAATGAAATAGGAACTTATGATGAAAGGTTGACTCAGAAGGACCGAGTATCCGGTACCTTCCATGCCTGATGGAAAGTGAAGGAAACCTGCGCAGAAAGTGGACAGTCACCTGACAGAATTAAAATTCCCCTTGCTGATGGAGATGTATTCATCAGTGGAGAACATTTGATAGACACCAGGCATTGGAAATGAATGATTTAGCTAATGAGGAAGCTACAATGGAGCCGTATTCGGTATATCATTCGGATTTAGGTTGATGGGTGTCTAGATGAGAATCATCTACGATGTGTAATAAACAGGAGCCTCGTGTTGCTTATCGTTTCGATGATTGGTGACTTTACAGCTTTGAGCAGAATAAAGATACCAGGAATGGAGGGGTTGTAATTGAAAAGACTTTGGCCGACATATCTGAGCTCTGGTCTCAGTTTCTCCCTGATTACCTGTATCGACAGATTACCCGAAGGTATCTGAGGAATTGTAAAGTTTCACATAGAGCTCTAAGACAGCCCGTTGGATCTTGATTTTAGAGCCATGTTGGCTTCCGCCGAGCTCAAAACTTCAACTATAAAGATGTGATGATAGTGCCATGTTGGAAGGCCTTCTACACTTATCATCTTGCCCATACTTAACCACCATTCCACTGTTCTGCCAGAGACTATCATTATGCGAACAAGTGTCATCTTTCCTCTTGCCGCCCTCGTGGGGGTCTCGGCTTCAATATCTATACCGCACACGAGGAACTTCGTCCGCGGCCAGGATGAAAGTAAGTATCCAGTAACCCGATAATTCGCTGCCAAATTGAATGAGAATGCTCATATGATAAAAAGAACTTGTCACCCCGGAAGAGGTGGATCTTATGGACCTCTATGCCTCATACACCGCTTCTGCACCATGCAATAACGGGACAGCCATTGGAAACCCTGTCACTTGTTACAAAAACTGCGAGAGAGTGGAACAAGATGGTGCGATCGTAGTCGGGTCCTACCTGTAAGTTTCCAGCCCATGACAGCAGGCGAGAGAAGATGCACTGACAAATTGGTGGATAGGGGCAAGACAACCGAATTTGCGGCGTACATGGCTTTGGTCGAAAGTCGAAAGCAGATCATTTGGGTAGGTAGAGGTAGTGCTACTCCCAAGAACTGGGATACGAACCTCAAAACAAGGCTTATCCCAAGCGACCTCGTGGACGGTGCCAAGATCCACACCGGCTTCAGCACCGCTTGGGATGAGATATCCCGTGATGTCTTTACTACTCTTGAAGAGCAAGTGTCCAAGCACCCAGACTACGATATCATCATTACCGGCGGTTCGCTGGGCGGTGCGGTCGCGACCATAGCCGCTGCACACATCCGCGAGGCTGGATATCAAGCTGATCTTTACACATATGGGTCACCAAGGATTGGCAATGGTGTCCTGGTCGACTTTATCACTCAACAGCCCGGCAAGTCGTATCGAGTGACACACAGACACGATCTGGTCCCACGTATTCCGACGCCCAACGTTCTTTGGTGGCCAGATTGGCCGCAGTATAGGCACGTCTCTCCCGAATATTGGCTTCAGGGTGAGCCCTCTGATCCGAATAATTGGCCCATTGAAGACATAAAGATCTGCGAAGGGAATTGGAGCCGCGAATGTATCGCAAGTCCGTCGAATCCCGTAGACTTGGACTTTAGCGGTTCTGGGAATGACCATCTAAACTACTTCGGTTCCTTGACATGCTGGAATGATGAAAAGGGGCCAGTTGATCTCGCGCCCCCCAAGGATACTATTGAGACCTTGGGATCTATCTTGGGTGAGCATCCATCATAATGGATTGGAGAATTATTATTGGTTCACGCAGTATGTTGGGACTTCGGGACGGGTATTGGATTCAACATCCTCCTACAGCATGTAGGTACAGATAGTGAGAACATGTGGAACTTCCCTTGACTGTAGGGACCTTTGTGAGGGAAGAGGGGATATTAGCTAGGCTGCCTGCCCAGCCTCTTTGAAAATCAATAATTTTTGCCTTTTGCGTTTACTCTCTTCTTAAAATCGTGATCTTTGAGCAATTATTCTATAGATAATCTAGATTATATAAAGGACCAGAAACAAAGCGTTTTATTGTAGTTGTTGGTTCTAGCTTTGCAGCTTAGTTGCAACCTCTCCCTTTGAAGAGCCGACCTCGTGATCGCCAACCTCCCGCAGACATAGCTTATGGTTTTGTTGGCTGGAAAGCTTCACCGGCACTCAATAGGTAATAAAGTCAATAAGATTTCAGACTGTAACTTACAATTCCAAGAGTCTTATGATGAATGCTGGATTGGATTGATCAGTTTAGCTTGAGTGGGAAAGAATGGCAGAGGATAGTGTGTTTAATGCTTGACTACTATCTATTGAATTCAGAGACTTTTTCACTCAGTAGTAAAGGTAGAAACTATTTGTATACATTAAAGGGCATAATGGATTATTTTTAAGTCTTTTGAAGCCTCCTCACGTTTTCGAATGTCCCTGGCAAGCGTGTAGCCTTGTGCGCCTACGAAGCACGGAAGTTCTAGCCTTTCTGCCCACCATGAAAACCAACACGGACCAAAAAGCAAGTATAACTGTTGGTAATTTATGATTGCACGTAGAATGACCAGGGGTTATTCATTTAGTTGGATTAGCTATGGTCGGGAGCGTTATATCTCGAGCTTTTTAATTTTAAAAAACTCGCTCGTGTCACGTTTCCCCCATTTTGCGGAATCGTATTTGTCACCCATAATCATCTGTTCTAAAGCTTGCTCATATTCTTTGCGTTGCTTCAGAACCGATTCAACTGGAGCCCACGGGAAGTAGACTTGCATCGAGAGAAGCTTGCAGCCCAGCTTCTTCAGAGGCTCAAGCATACGCTTATAGGTATTGAACATGGTCTTCTCCATGCTCTCGTCTCTGCGCACCAAGCGGCTGGTATAGGGCCACATCAATTCATACATGTACTGACCATGAAGACTAAAATCAAATAACGCCCCATCTGGTGAGGGGCTGGGGTAGCCACTGAAGTGAACCTCAAGCCGCAGGCGTGACAGGTCTGCCTGATCAGAGAGACGCTGGATGGACTCAACCCACTCGTGCCAATCGAACTGATCTGGCAATATGTAGTCCGGAGAACAAGCAGGGAAGATAACGCAGAGGCGTCGAAGACTCCATAGGCTCTCAAGCGGAACGCGGCGCATGAAACGGGGTAGAGCGTGTCTAAGCTCGTTGTCGCGGAGAAACGCGGGGTGAAAGCAAAGCTTGTTGCTCGAATAAAACACGTGTCGTGCAATGTAAGAAAACTCCTTGCTCACTTTGAAGTATTTGTCTAGCCGGAAACTATCGCACTCGCAATGCTGAGTGAAGGCGTCAGGATACAGCCTAACACAGAAGCTGGTTGAACTAGCCATGGGCTGGGAGAAACGATCCTTGCCATCTCTAGCTTTGAGCCGATAATTAGAGCAAGTTTTTTTGGAGTCCCCAAGGCGGAAAGCCTTACTTCGCCTGAAGTGAACGTTTTCGCCAGCAAGCAAAGGGGTATGTTGCAAAATCTGGATCTGTAGCTCTAGAGGGAGGCTCATGAAACGGAACGGTGGTTTCTCTATACTTTCACCCAGCAAGCCCTTTGCAGCGTTTCGTATAAATGACCTAGAATCAAAATCCTTCATGTCCTTGAGATGATCGCCAAGATTAATGGCCACGTCTCTGAGCGGAGGCATGCCGCTCAATGGCTCAAGGATGCTTTTTGCGGTCTCCACGTCACCAACGCTAGCAATGAGAGAGAGACTGAGTTGATGTGGGCGCGAGTTTGCGGCCAGGCGAGCACATATTCGTTTCCATTGAGCAAGGATCGACGTATCAATGTGGACGAAGCCAAAACAGAGTCTATGGGTAACGTGTTTCCAGAAAGATGGTAAATTATCTTCTCTCTCTCCATCGAACCATCCGGTGTGATACTTGAAGAAATCGTCCTGGGAGCGGTAGCGACACGGAAGAAAGCTTATAATGAGAGTCCTTAGCTCTCTAAGCGCTGTATCGCTCATCATTTCCAATGGTTGCAGACCTCGTTCGCCTAACATGCTTACTGCCAAGATATTCTCGGCGTATAGCTTGGTCTCAACTTCATCATGGATTAGGTGGGAGCCGGCCCACAGGAGGGCAGCAGGAAATGGTGGCTTTTTGTAAGACTTGTCCTTATACGACCACACGTTAAGGTCGATGAACCTATTGCCCCAATAGCCCCCCTCGTGGTAGATTTGATCACGGACATTTTGTGGCAGGTCGAGGAAGGTCACACGGGGAGGGGGCTTTAGTCGGCTATTAGATGTGAAGAATACGGTTTTGGTTCGCCTTCGAGTACTTACAGAGCCTCCCTCATACATGTGTGTAAGTTTTGACGTCGATTGGGCCAGCATATCGTGCAGTGTAGTCTCTTCCATGGTTAGGGAAATGAATAGCTAAGAGTCGTGCTCGGTGAGTGACAAGAGAAGGTGAGGAGTGATGAGAAAAAGATAGAAGGGCGGTCTCTTGTATTTAAAAGAATTTTCTAGACAGCCAAGAGGGTCGACCTCTGCGTCCAAGAAGAAACTGACTTTTTTCCTCCTATGCAAAGTTTAGCTTGCTTGGGGCGTTGTTGTGAGTTTAATTTCCAGCCTTGTGACCTAAACTATCATTTAGTCTTCGGATAACGCTCCAGGTGGCAAGTTTGATTTAGACTTCACAGTTAAAGAGACGTATGAATCATTTACACTACGAGACTACCTTTGGATGTAGAAAAAATATTCTTCTCGAATGATTGCCGCCGTAGACTAAACTGAAAATCACTCCAAGTCCTTTTCTCATGACCTTGGCACGCGAATCTACAACTAGTCTCACACTTCCTCCCACCGTGTCCTCTTTCACTGTATTTTAGGGGCTAAAAAGCAATACTATTGAGCCCATCTTCTATCAAAGAAGGCTGAATAGACTGAATAGATCAAAGATCGTAGAATAAATAGTGATCTGATGAGGGGTTCGTGTAGACGGTACGTGAGCTATCGGTATGTTGGTATGAAGCTCTTGAGCTTTCCTTCCGTGTGGATGTAGCCTTGGGTTAGCAGAAGTTATTTTTGCCTTTGCATTTATTTGATCAAGATTTTGGGCCTGGCCTCTCCCAATGCTGTTTTCTACCTCAAACTCAAACTCTCATCAGCACTTTCACACTTCATTTGAGAGATAGGGACCTTATTTCCAAACAGTACAGAGGTGCGATTATGTTTGTTACCAAACAAGCTGTTGAGTAGCCAAAGGATACTTGGTGAATTCCCTACGCAGCCCTCAGGCACATCGTCACAAGATAGGCCACATGAACCAACCACTATCTATTTTCATTGACAGCCTCGATGAAATTTCTTGGACGGGCGCATTACCCAAATTGATAGAACTGATTGAAAGCATGAATAATTAGGCCAAACTATGTGTATCAAATCGACACGAGACACAGACAATCACCAACATCCAAGTTATTAGAGCGACACGCCCTTAACTAGAACCACCGCTTGGCTGAGATAATTCGATATGTGTTTGAAAAACTACCGCAATAAAAGAGGAGAACGGGCCAGTGCCAGTTTCTAAGCCATAATCACGTCATCCTTGGCGGGCATGATCAATCAGGATATACTACGAGGGGATATTCGCGAAATGGATTTCATCATCCATGACAATAAGGTGAAAAATAAGGTTATTAGTTATGAATGAGTGAACGTACCCACCGAGAAGGCGACATACGTATGAATAGAGTTGCATCACCTGCCACGTATCTTGACACCTGCCTGACCCGTTGCCTGTCTCCCATGTTGTTGTAATTAGCCGGTTTAATGTGACGTTGTTTCTTGCTTCTACCTTACTGCGATATCGGGCATGGAAATAATGAGCGAATAAAAATGATTGAGCACGTAAGTTTGCATGTTCTTTAGTACCTAGCACCCATGCATTACCCAGCTCCAAGTATCCGGACTCATTTCGCGTGTGGTTACATTGATTGCGAAAGAGTGATTTTCCTTGCGTCTTCTCTTATAGGCTAGTCCCACAGGCCCGCTGTTCATTGCTGCTCATATCTATATCAATCCCGCAAATGTTTGTCCTAAGAAGGGTCGTCGGATTGATATAGTAAACTCCAGTCACTCAATTAAGAGAACCAAGATGAGAGCCACTTTAGGTCTTGCCTTGTTCTGGACCAGCCATGTTACGGCACTCGGATACGCAGACAGACAAAAGACGCCTTTGAAAGATGATGAAAGAGTGGCAGCACTCTTTCCAGCTCCTGAAGGTGATCTGATATCACCGGCGTTTTTATTTCCCCATACCGTTCCTGAGGGCTTCGCCAATAATTCGGCCCCTCCTACCGACAGTGTTACTTCGGGTGAGTGGAATATATGATGGTTGCTGTTGTCAAGCGTTTCAATTAACCGAGCTTGCTCTCATAGCGTCATTTCTCAAGTTACTGGCCCAGAAGAATCCATGGATAAACTATCATGAGCCCGACTTTACATCTGAAGAAGGACGGGTTATCCCCTATGTTTACTTATCGAAAACTCGCAAAGATTACACGGAGGGTTCATCGGACAACAAACTGCGAATATGGATCCAAGGAGGCACGCACGGAGACGAGCCCGCGGGCCCTCAATCGGTCCTCGCATTGCTTGGAAAACTCAACGATGACAAGAAATGGGCTTCATCAGTCCTTGACAAAGCGGATCTCCTGGTGCTTCCGTTGTATAACCCTGATGGCACGCAGAACTTTCAGCGAGAGCTTGTCACCGGATTTGACGGCAACCGGGATCATGCTCTACTCCAAAGGAAACAGACTCGAGACGTGAAGCAACTACTCAACAGATTCAATCCTCATATTTCCCACGACGCCCACGAATACACAGCTTGGAACCGATTTGGCGGGAACTACATCAAGTCTCACGACCTTCAGTTTTCTGCCGTGAAGAATCCCAACATCAGGCCGGAGATTAGAAGTCTCGGTGAGCGCCTTTTCACTGATACAGTCTACTCCACCGTGAGAAAGGCCGGATATCGCACGGGTCCCTACTTCACAGGCACTACTTCAGGAAGTGCAATCACCCTGACCGAGCCGGGCTCCTCTAGCTCGGGCGGGCACAACTCGTGGGGACTTGGCCAGCGGCTCTCATTTCTCGCTGAGACGCGTGGTATCAGATTGGGTGACCAGCACTTCAAGCGGAGGGTCAGTACGGGACTTTTGGCTGCCGAGACGGTTCTGCGGGTAGCCACGGAGAACAAAGATTTGATCTACAACACAATCGAGGACGCTCGTCGAGATTTTATCAACGGAAACGATGAGATAGTCGTGGTGGATAAATCAAGAGTGACAAATATAGATATCGACCTTATTGATGTTACCACAGGCGAGGTGGTTGATGTGCCGGTAACTTTCAACAACAACACACCCTCGGACGTGGTGTTGACCCGCCCCCGCCCCGAAGCCTACATTTTCTCGGGTGCCTGGTCTGACATTGCTGAGCGGCTTCGAGTCTTGGGGCTCAAGGTTGACGTCCTGGAGAGTGACTTCTACGGCACGGTCGAAACTCTCGTGGCCACCAACGTAACTTTGGCCACTGGCAGGAACCAAGGAATCGTGCAGGCAACTGTCACTACAAAACCAGGCACAAGAATCGTTCGTATCCCAGCTGGCGGCTTCCGAGTGAGCACCCGTCAACAAAATGCTGCCTACGCCTTCATCACCTTGGAGCCGGAGAATGTATCCTCGTTTGTGACAACAAACACTATTCCTTTGGAGGTTGGAGAAGAGTACCCCGTGTTTAGGATCGTATGATTATTCGCATATCCTGTAATGACTGGTGGTTGCCGAAACGGCTGATGTGCATACGACTCGGAGGCCTGTGCTCTGTGCTGCTGTATCCCTCAGCTGGATCAGTGCGTTCTTTAAGTTGAGATATGATGCATTTATTAATTTGGCCTTATCTCAAGGATTTCTATCGCCCTAACTTTATAAAGTGAAGTGGGCATGAAGTATTCCGCACATTGATAGACTGCCTAGTGTCTCCGTTGAGAGATTAAGCTCAAGTTCCATTGATTTTATGTTATATCCTTCACATGAGATCACGTATATTGAGGTATAGGTGCTTCTGTTGGTTCTTCGCATCAACCGACCAAGGTAGGCCTGGTATCTATTGAGTCAGGGCCTACTTATTAATTCGGCTAGGTTAGATAAATTAGCTATTTTTCTATATCTATAGAAAAAGATATACTTTTTACCTCTTCTTATTTTTACTTTTAAAAATCCCTTCTTATAAAAGATATATCTTTTATAATCTTATAGTAATTATAATTAATTAATTAACTAGCTATAAATATAATCTATTTAATTAAATAAGAATATATATAAAACTTAAAACTTTCTTTTTATAATTATTATAAAAGATTATTAGATTTTAATATAATTAGTAGTTTATATTTTAAGCTTATTAATAGCTATAGTATTATTTATTTTTCTTTTAATATAAATAAAGATCTTAATAGGAAGATATATAATTAGATTCTAAGTAATTTAAATACTTTTTAATCTATAGATTAAAATAATTAGATAAAAAGAAAATAAATATAATATCTTTTAACTATTATAAAAACC